TTATGGTCCAAATCCCAAGAAGAACTGATTATTGAATTCCATTAACTTCAATGGGGAGTTGCAGCAGTTCAGCAGATGCTATGCACTTATTAGGATTTGGTCTGATATTAATACTCATGGTGAGAAACTGGTCAGACCAGATGATCATAATAATTCTTTCTGACTTCAAAAATCTGTGAAAGTACTCACCTGGACAGTTCCATTCACTTTGGTGAGACTAAATGTATGAGGAATTGTTCATCAACAGGAGTGAAAAGCTCACAATCTGGCCCATAAAAAGATAGACGAGGGACTGGGATATCTGGACTCCATCATTTACAGATGTTTCAGTCTCATTTCTGGAAAACAATTGCTGCACATTTTATGGTTGCAGAAATTTTATCTTTTGTCTGAATTTCCTATAATTGTTGCCAAATGAAAATTCTACCACTTTTGTACTGATGCTTATTTTGAAAGGTATTTTCCCACTTATTTATGCATACCTACAAGTGGTCTTCATTTGTGATTTTGATTGGTTTCCACCTACATAAACCCTTTAATGATTTCCCACGATTATTTGTAACTGAGTTGGCATACGGCCAGATAATGAACATATTAATCAGTTCCATGTCTAGAAATTTCTTGCAAATGTTTGTTTAGGGTTTTTATTTTCAAAAAAATATATAGGTAGGGTGACCAGATGTCCTGATAAAATCAGGACTGTCCCGATATTTAACCCTTTGTCCCACATCCCGATCAATGTACGATCGGGACGCCACTTGTCCCGATATTCAGGTAAGGAGGCGAGCGGGAGGGAGGTGCTGACCCCGTGGGTGCTCCGGGGCTGAGCACCCACGGGGAAAAACTGCAGCCAAGCTCCCCGCTCCTCCTCCCCCCAGTGCGCCACGTCCCCGCTCCTTCCCCCCTCCAATGCTTCCCACCGCCTAACAGCTGTTTGGCGGCGCTTAGCACTTTCCAGGAGGGAGGGGGAGGAGCGGGTACGCGGCACGCTCAGGGGAGGAGGTGGGAAAGAGGCAGGGCAAGGGCGGGGATTTGGGTGAAGGGGGTGGAATGGGGGGCGGGACGAGGGCAGTACAGGGGCGGGAAGAGGCAGGGGGTGGATGAACACCCACCCGGGGGGGTGAAGAGGCGAGCGGCAGGCGAGTGAGCGGGCGGGGAGGCGAGCAGTGGGTGGGGGATTGAAGAGGGACGCAACAAGCCAGCAGCAGGCCGGGGGATGAGGAAAGGCGTGGTGGGGGGGGCCAAGCAGGGAGGGGGCAGGACCTGGGGCAGAATGGGGGTGGAGCCTGGGAGGAGCGGGGGTGGACTGTGAGCGGGGCTGATGGCACCCCAATGTGTCCCGATATTTTACTGTGGTGATCTGGTCACCCTATATATAGGGTGTGCAAACCCTCACATTCAGCATCATGTGACATGAGAGTCAAGGATGAAGATATTATCTAAAGATGTTAAAAAATTCTACACCTTCTAAAGTACCCAAACATTGGAAATAAGTCAGGAAATGAACAGTTAAAGGATCAAGCTAGCCCCTTACTGCCATGTATCTTGATTACCCCATGGGACTCAGGGCAGGTCGCCACTTAAAAAGCTGCTATAACACTTTAGTGAAGATGCTCCTACGCAAACAGGACAGGAGAGCTTCTCCCATCAGTGTAGTTAAGCCACTTCCGTTTTCAGGCCGCTGAGCAACATAGTTTTACTGAAGTGTGTAGTGTAGACCAGCCCTCAGTGTTATTCAAAGGAAAACATCCCGCAGAACAGATTGCAGTCTTGCCAACCCATCGTTTCATCAAAAGTCTCATGTGATTTTCTGAAAGCCTCAGCAGCTGGAATCAAGAGTTTGCAGGTGAAGCTCAGCACTAGTTAATAATAAAAATAAAATAATAATAATAATAATAATAAAATTTAGCCATTGTGGTGGCAGAGAAAAGGTTGAAAATGCAAGGTGAGCGTACCCTAAGGATTCAGAAACCAGAAAAGCAACCCTGTATGTATTTCTCCTTTTAATCCCACAATTTTTAAACCAGGCTCTTGATTTTGGGGCCTGAATAAGGATTTTTAAGCACTTGAGGTTCCCAATACTGCAGGTGGAAGTTGAAACCTGCAGGACTGACTCTCCTAGACTAAATCCGCCCCTGTATCCAACTTTCCAGCCGTCTGTCTCTGCATTCCCGCCAGCTACCTTGCATTAGTATTTTGTACCTCCAGGCCAGCCTCCCCCAGGGCCCCGCCAGGAGCGCCAGCAGAGCTCGCGGCTCCCCCTGCAGAGCGCCGGGCCCGCCTTCCCGGGCCGGAGGCGGGTCCCACGGCCCCGCTCCTCCCCGCTCGCTGCGCCGTATAAACGCGCCGCTCGTTAGCGCCTGGCCCGGGTCCGGCGCTGCGGATTTCGTGGCGCTGCTGAGCCTCAGGGCCGAGCGGGGGAGATCCCGGGCCTCCCCGCAGCCGCCGCGGCCATGGTGCTGAACCCGGTGATCGGGAAGCTGGTCAGCAAGAGGGTGGTGCTGGCCAGCGCCTCCCCCCGCCGGCAGGAGATCCTCACCAACGTGGTGAGTCCGGGGCAGCGCCGCCTGGGCCCCCTGCAGTTAGTGGGCAATAGAGGGGTGAGATCACTCGGAGTATGTCTACACTGCAAAGTCTGCACTGCCACCGGTGCTGGCGCTGGGCAGGGGTTGTTTCATTGCCTGGGGCTGCACCCTGTGAGGTGGGAGAGTGCTAGAGCTGCAGCCTGGAAGTCTCCACAGCAATTGACCAGCCCCTGTCAGCTGCCCAGTCCCTGTTGTCTAATTGCGGTGGAGACATACACTTTCCAATGCTCTTACAAGGATGCCCAGCCCTGCTTTGTCTTAGCTCCCACATCGCTCCCTGGAAATGCTCCTGCAGCAGCTGGGCTCCTTTGTGCGCAAACAGGAGAGTAGTTTAACAGTCTGCCAAGTGGCCATTATTCCCCTCTTCCCTGTTGTTGCCGTCTTGACATTTTTAAAGCTGAAAGACCTGTGTTTCTGGGTTTATCTGTGACCAGAAGAACAATATTTTTTAAATAAATTGCACTTGAGCAGAGTCTTGGGGCAGGAGGCAGGTTATGCAACTGGAAAGTAGCCTGCTGGTGTGGCTGGGGCAAGGAAGCTGAACAAAATGAAGTTCTTAGGAACATACCATTGGGTGATGCCAATTCCCACAGATAGGAGGTGAAACTTGTTGGGTCAGGCTATGGGGTGGTCTCAATACATGCAACAAAGGGCAGAGGAGGAGGGCTGTTTGGGGTAGGGAATGCAGCTAAAATAGTAACATGTTTTCTCTTGTTACTGTTGTCAGCTGTCTGTGAAAGGGGTGCATAAGAATAGAATACACTGTGCCAGAGCCTCAGCTGGTGTTAACTGGTGAATTTACAGTTTATATCAGTAGAAGATGTGGCCCTGTGTATTGGTTTTGCATTGCTGCCCTCCAGGACTTTTGGAAAAACCCCGTCAAGTGTTAATGTCAGTCATAGAGTATTATAGTATCCATGGGACTTATATTTTTTTATTTTTACACTTCATCTAAAGAATTGTGTTGCACACATTTTGATCAATACTTCACATTAACGATGATGGGTAGAAGTAAAAACAGACAACCAATGCTAGTTTTTTTTGCGGGAGGTTGTTTGCAGTAGATCACATCACATAATCCCAAAAAACCTTTTCACTTATGCTTTTTCTCAGCCACACTTTCTTCCCCCCTATCCAAACATACCATAGATTGTGTCTCAGGGTGAAATCCTGTTTTCATTGAAGTCAATGGTGAAACAAAATTGAACCTGTAGTTTGGAGGCAGGAATTAGGGGGGGAAATCCAGAAAGCTAAACAGGTTGCAGTGACAAAACTAATATGTGTATTTCTGGCTACATGTGAATGTTTACATTTAAGCATACATTTGATAGTTGTTTCGGTTAAATGTTGTATTGCAAAACTCATTCTTACACAGATTTATCCACAGTGCAGCACAAGTAAATGCCAAGATTATATCTACTGAAGACTTCACTGCACAGATCTAATTTACATGGGACGCACACAGATACTACAATGATGGGTGTTATAGAAAACCCTAAGGAAGAGAGATGTCATGCATTTGTGATTAGGTTGTTACATGCATAGCTGACAAGAGTAAAATGATTATAAGTACTACAAGTGTAAAACTTTTGTTTGTCATGGATAGATTTTTCTTGTCTTTTATCTTGAGATGTTTGCATATTAAGAGTAAATTCAAAACAATTCAATGCAACAGGGTTTTTGCTTCTCAGATGAAACGCACACAATGGGAATTTAGTTATTTGTTTTAGTTTTAATTTTGATTGCATACTGCCGATGGAATGAGTGAAGTTTGCAGTGTTTGCACTAGATTGTTATGTTTGCAATAGATTTGTAGTTCTACAGTTTGTTTATATGTTGTTACCAATATCTATCTTTTTCTTCCTCTCTTGAAGACACTTGGCATTTTATAGTAGGTTAATTTTTAAAAATAAATAACTAGATATTTCTCAGATTAGCTTCCACTCTATTCTAATTTACTATTTGCATGATTAAATATAATTTGTACTGTAGAGGAAATGAGACATAAGAATAATAAAAAAGAGCAAAATTCACTTAATCTGTTGCTTTTACAGGTTCCTTCCAAAACACTCGATGCTCACTACATTGCCTTTCCTTTGTATATTGTAGGGTCTCCGATTTGAGGTAGTTCCATCCTGGTTTAAAGAGACACTTGAGAAGTCATCTTTTGCAGCCCCTTATGAATATGCCATAGAAACAGCAAAGCAGAAGGCACTTGAAGTGGCAAATAGAATGCATCTAGTGAGTCTGTCAGCTATTTCAATAGTCAAATGTTGTATTTGTGTGGTAGGTGTTATTCTCACTATTTATTACTGTTATGTGCACTTGTAAAGGTAGTAAGTATACAGGTGCATTTACATCCTTTAAGCAAACAGACACATTTTCCCCTATGTTACTATTGTGGCAACTACCTGTTGAAATGGGCTAGACTTGCTAAAAGGAACTCCAGTGCCTTCAGTTTGTGAAAGGCCAAAACAGTGATTACAGACAGCTCTGACAGCAGGCAGAAGCTCTAAATTGAGGTATAATCGCCAAGTCCTGCCAACAGCCAACTATTCAGATTGAGTCTGAGATAGTTAGACTTTGTCCAGGATTTTCAGGCACACGGTGAGCAGAGATGCAATTCTATTTAGGTCCTATGAGGAGATACAGAACTGACCGTCATCGGCATGCCGATGATCCTGTAACCCATCATGCCTTGCAGTCTCTGAGTGGTTTCAAATATTGCTTGAACAAGAAGTGTGACTGGAGTGAGCAGTGTGAGCCTTCATAAATGAAGCAAAAAAACAGCTGCCCAGCACACAGCCCTCTGACCTCTTTCTGAAAACAGTGAACTAAGGCAACTTGGTCAGCCTCTCCACTAGTCCCATAGTTAAGCCAATAGAGCCTTGTGATCAATGTTGTCAAAATCCAGTAATAGATTTATTGGCATCACCATAGATATTAGACTTCTGCCTACTGCCCTAATGTGCTCCACCACAGTGATTAAGGCTGGTTCTGTGCCACAACCAAGCCTGAAGCCCAACTGATTAGGTTAAAAAAAAATCCTTATAGGCTGTCATTTGCTACTGGTGTGGATCTGCAAATATTTCCTTAATGACCTTCCTCTGGAAGGGAGGAATAGAGACTAATCCTTTTCTGAGATCGATTCACATATACTGAATGCGCCCTACCAACACCGTTGCCAAATGACACTGTCTGCCAGTGCAAATATTGAATTATCTCCTATGTAAATGATTACACAGATTCATATCTGTTTCTGTCACTTTCTTTTTCTGACTATGGTGTGATATTAGGGGAGTGGATTTCAAACCTTAACAAGAATATAGTGGACTTTAATTGTGGAATAGTATTAAAAATTTTCCTGCTACTTCATATTTTTCTTAAGTCCATCCAGACGGATTTTGAGCGCTTCCTATGTACAGGATCTAGTTAAGTAGCATATGGATGTAGGTGTACCATTTCAAACTAATTAGTATGTTAGTGTTGTCACTTTCTATTATGATATCAAATCTTACACTATTTCCCAGTAGAGTTCCTGTTCTCATTTGCTCTATTAACTCTTACCTAATATTTTAAGACTAGAGCCTTCTCTATTTATGAAAACAAGCTGCCATAAGAAGCAGTAAGTTTATATCAACAGTTGCTTCCATCATGAACAATAAATAAATGTAAGTCTTAGCCATGTTACATCGTAAAATGATAAATGTAGGGTTAGTGTCTGAAATCATCCAAATGAAATGTAGGCAAGCAAAAAATTCTTAACAAGAACACTTTGCAGTTTGAGAGCAGGGAGAGGGAAGAAGGAAAGGGCTGAGAGAATTCTATAAAACCAAACCTTAGAACTCCTTTTAATGGCTGGATACATTTAAATTCAGGTGGCTGAGGGGTATGCAAGTACACTTAAGGACATCTGAGTAATAACTCTATAAAAATGGCATTGTGGCACTCATGTTTAATGTGTTTCAGTGATTTCCATATCCAATACACTTGGCTTATTACAAAAAAGGTTGTTTTGTAACTGGCAGCCTTGAAACTCAACCGGTGCTTGGAGAGTTGAGTTGGGTTCTAATCTTTCGTAGGTGCACTTCATCATCAATACAAGTTCTGCAGGCAAAATCATACCCTCAGTTATTTCTGCCCACAGTCCTTGCTTTCCCTGGTTTTTCACAGATGTAACTGATTACAATTCTGTTAAGGATGCATAGACTTTGGCTCCCTCCTTGATATATTTAGATCAATACCTTTCAAGTGGTAAAGCTACAGCGTCTTGAGTTGGATATTCTGGGGTTTTTTTGTTTGATTGTTTTTTCCCTTTTTTTTTTTTGTCTCCTCATCTTTCCAGAAACACCTTAGAACTCCAGATATTGTTATAGGAGCAGACACTATTGTGGTAAGAATTTTCGTGTATTTTAGCAGTAGTTTGAATCATGTCTGACCAGTGCCTAAAACTCTCTTGTTGGGGGTTTAACTTCTTAGAAATGTAAAGATGGAAAAGGTCTGACTACTCATCTAGTCCATCCTCCTGTCAATGCAGAATTGTCCCTATGGTATATTTTCTAGTACTTAGACTGGTTTGAAATGTCTCAAATGACAGGGTTTCCACCACTACCTTTATTCTATTTTTTTTTTTTAGACATACTCCCATGTTCCATAATCAGAATCGAGCTTTCTACTATGTTGGGGAAGAGGCACTCAGTTATTTGACAGCTGTGAGCATCAGGAAACGTGCATCGCCTAAGCATTGCCATTTAAGACATTTTTAACAGCCAACACAAATAGCACTCTTACTGGTAGTCTCAGCAAAGAGGGTAAAGAATGAATTATGATAGACACTGAATTAGCCACTCACCTCTGCAGATCCTTCTGTCAGTTACAGGGTGGAGGGGAAGCTTGCACTGATAGTGTGTGCTCTCTTAATAAATAGAAGGCTCATGTCTCCAAGATTCTTATTTAGTGCTTTTTATCCATAGGTCTCAAAAAGCTTTACAGAGGAGGTCAGTATCATTATATGATACTTAACATGATACTTTTCAGTAGACTGATGTTGCTGGCAGGTCTGGGTGAAATCATGATTTGAAAAGTCTGTGTGACTGATCTCAATTTCAGCATATTAGAGATACACAGCGGAGTATTTTTCTTTCTATTTCAGACTGTCGGAAAACAGATTCTGGAGAAACCGGTTGATAAACAAGATGCATACAAGATGCTGTCAAGGTTTGTAGTTTTAAATAAGGTTAAATGAGTTAATCAGGCAATTCTACAATCAGGCAATGTTTTCTGCAGCAACTGGAACTGCAAAATTCTATAACATTCACGCACAGAGATGTATAAAAGATAACAATATATATGCTCCGTGGGGCAAGGACCATCTTTTTGTTCTGTGTTTGTACAGTGTGTAGCATAGTGAGGACTTGATCCATAACTGGGACTCCTAGGCAATACAATAATACAAGATTATAAATAAAATATTATTACAAATTACTACTCTGTACAAGGGATGTGAAATATGGTGTGCTTAGGATCCATCGCTTTGAATTTCCTGATTTGTGTCCTTCCAGAGTCTCAATAACAATGTTGCATTAGTATCATTAGGATAAGTTATTTTGCATTTGCATTGCAATTGTTTTATTATTGACTTCCTTAATAATAAAGTTCTTTAACAGTACAAGCATTTGGTATTGGTCCTTTGCCTCTCCTCAGGTGCGGTTTGCATGATGTGTGTACTAGAAGGAAAACTAATCAGGAATTCCTTTATTTGGAGCCACATTGTAGCTTTTCTTTTTTTTTTTTATAGAAGTACACAATTTACATTGGTGTAATCAAGAGCAAAATTTTTGCCTTTTTTTACTGTCCTGTTTTATTCTCCTGTCATACATTGGGGTCCTTAAGTCATCTCAGGCTTCTATTTCTCTCCTTTGAATGTAGTTCAATCACTTGAGCTTAATGATGCCCTCTTCCCCATGTTTCAGACTCATTCTGTTGCTTACCATATGTGAGCTATTTCATTAATGCAATTATTTCTTTCTGCAACTCATCACTTTTAATAAGCACCAATTACACAATACTGTAGCCTGTTACCAGGCTAGAACACTTGAATTGATTGTCACTCTATCTCTTAAAGCTCTAATGCTGTTAGGCTGTTATCCTGTCCTGAGGCCTGAAGGAGAAATCAGATTGTATCTCAATCTGAAGAAACCATGTTTGCCTTCCAGGGGCAACTCAGTTACCTACCTTTTTTCCCCTTAAAGGTTTGCAGTTCTGAGATCATGGCAATAAACATTTAAGTAACAGGAAAAAATGTCATCAAAGCGAATGTGTTTGTGCCAGTTTTGTGAGATGTAAGTTTTTAGTGTAAGACAAATATCAAGATTAGAAGTACATAGTAATGATTCATAAATTAAGAAATACTTGCCTACAGTAGTTATGTGTGGGAGGAGTGCAACTCTGGGTTATTCAGGTGGGACCAGTAAGTAGGAGGTTACACGGTCACATTTTCTCAAGGCTGCCATTCTACCGTTTTTAGAATAAAATGGTGTCTTTGTTAAAGAATGTGAAAAGTCTGCTGATCATTCTTTTGTGTGGCAAACTGCCAGTGACATATGACTTATTGAATATGAGCTGATGAAAGAGACAAACTAATTTAGGAAAAATTCACTGGACGGAATACATGGCCTATGGCTTTCTGGACTCTTTGCTTTGTGGCTCTAATTTAGATTTTGGGCTGATGAATTAGATTTCTCCATTTGGTGGAGGCATAAAAAGTAATGGTTGTTCAGAGTGAATGAGTAAGGGCAGAATGTGATATTATCAGGAGACCACACATATTCCGCCAAACTCATGAAGGAGTCTGACTGGAAAGGGTCTTCTGATTTAGTACATAATTTTGCTTGAAATTATACCATGTTTGGTGACTTCCAGAAAATAGTCACTTTTGCACTAAACTTACAAAGATGTTTGTGGATCAGAATTAATATAAACTATCTTGTGAGTTACATTACTCAAAAAAAAAAAAGTCATCCCAAAACTTCTAAAACAAGCATGGATGTGCAATATATTTGAATTTTTTTTATTTTTTTTTTCTTCAGGATAATCCCTGTTGGGGTCATTTTGCATCCAGTGCTAGCAGTGTAAACTCTTGTCTCCTATCTGTGTGCTAATTTAATCAGCTACACAAACTTTCAAGGGGCCAAAATGGACAATTTATATTGAGTAGTTTCATGCTCTACAAGTAGTTTAGTTCAGTGGGACTACCTAGGGTCGGAGGTACTATCTGATCTGAGTAAGGGTATCACAATTCAGTGTTAGGATACTATTTTGTAATCAGACTGTCTAAGAAGTTAAGCTGCCTTGCCTCAGTTTACATTGGTTCTGCTTACACATCTATGAACTGTACAGTTTTCGCTCTCTCTTTTTTTTTTTTTTTTTTTTTTTAAGTATGTTCAATGTTCCATGCAAAGAGGGTAGTTAACTACTCGGGAAAGTAAAGTCCTTTTCATGACAAAATAAACAATATCAATTCAAGCTTCCTGCACTTTTCTGCCGGAATTTCTGAGCCATTCTCTGAAAGCATCATCCCTAGGCAGGTGCAAGGACAGTTCATTCTCTTTGCTCCTTTGGAGCCTGATTCTGCCACTCTCAGTTGAGTTGAGTGGTACTTTGTTCCATCAATAGCCCAGTTGAAATGAATGGGAATACTGGTGTAGCAAGGTACTAGTATTCCCATTCAGCATGAGGAAAGGTTGTATAACCTAGCCCTTCATGGATTATCTTTTTGCTGAAGCTGCCTATCACGATGTCCTTTATGATGGTGATGATCCTGTTTTGCTCATGAGATTGACACTTCTCCTCTGGTATAGTAACATAATAAAACAAAACAAAAATCCTAATTTTACCTCAATATAAATGAACATATTTTAGGCCACTGAACAGCCAACAGGTGTTAATGTTTTGGGGACACTAAGCATTGAAAGATTCCAATTACTGTATCAATCCTTCTGCACCATTTTGTGTTTTAGCTCTTTACCTTTGTGAAAGAAAAATCAAAACCCTATGTCCTGTGTGTAAGGATACGAACCAGAGCTGGTATTTTTCTGTGGTGTCCATTGGCTTATTTGTGGAACACTCTGTAAACCTGTGAAATAGTAATGCAGTGATGCATTAATGAAGAAGAAAGGGACTTTATAAAACTTACATAGTGACTCTTCATTTTTCCCTCATAGGTTGAGTGGGAAGGAGCACAGTGTCTTTACGGGAGTAGCCATTGTTCACTGCAGCAGTAAAGGTAATTGCAGAGAAGTGTACAGGTATCTATGTGGTAAAGTCGTATGTTCTTATAGACATATGTTATCTAATTCTACTCTAATTGTGAAGGTGGAACCCTTTCATACAACATCTGATTCTGCCACCCTTTCCCATACTGAGGAGTGGATTATCTGTAATTAAATAAAATGAGCAAACAGTCCTACAAACAAAACACTATGTTGCACATAAAGGTTGATGAGAGAATGAACCATGTGTGACAGATGTTAGTTGAATCACATAATGCATTACTGAAGGGCGCTCAGATATTACGGTGTTAAGAGTGGTATAAGAGCCTATTAAGAATAGAATAGGCACTTCATTGAAATCAGTAGGGCTACTGAAAGAACCTGATCCAGTACCCACTGAAATCAGTGGGAGTATCTCCCTGCTCACTTCAGCGGACGTTGGATCAGGTCCAGAGTGAACATGAGAAAGGTGGCAGAATCTGATCCATAGTCATTTTCTTGCTGGGCTTTATTCTGATGAGAATGAAGGGGCTATGTTGTTCAAGTACGGAGAAGATTATCACATGTATGGGTCCTACTTAGTTTCTTAATATCTAGGTTGTAAAGAGAATGGATTTCTAGAAAATTACTTTTCATTATTAACAGCAGTTCTAAAAAATCCTGTTGGGTGGTAGGTGAAATAATGGTTTGTACATTACCTTTTAACTGTGCAGTCCTGGGTTTGAGATTGACCTGGACCATATTTTGTTTAATAAATAATTCATTAAAATGAGTGGATTTCTGACCAGTAAGAGATTTTTCCATCAAATTATGCTGGACTAATATGGTCTCACTGTTTCCTTGTACTCTCCCATTGGTCTGTCTCTATCCATCTGTTGTCTCGTATCTTATACTTAGATTGTAAGGTCGCAGGAACTGTCTTTGTTTTGTGTCTGTACAGCACCTAGCACAATAGCTTCCTGGTTCATGACTAGGGCTCCTAGGCAGTATAATACCAATAAGAAATATTATATTAAATATTCTAGTATTACCATCATTCAAGACATGGGGTAAAATCCCGGCACCCTTGAACTCGATGGCAAAGCTCTCATTGAGTTCAGTCAAGTCAGGATTTCACTCAGGAAACTCCCAGAAGTATCAGTTTTCTGAAATTTGTCCAAACCTCTTGCCCCTCTCTCTCTCTGTTTGCAGATGCCATACAACTCCCTGAAAAGCTTTTTTCAGAATAAATGCTTTTACCTTTAAAAACTAAACCAGTTGTATCGGCAGCCCAGTGCCCATATAAAAAATATGCAGTGGTGGAAGAAACTACTGTAAAAAAGTTGTCAAGCGGCTTTCAAAGGGTTCAGATAAACAGTAATTTAAAAATATAGATATAGATATAGATTCTTCTTTTGACTTTTACAAGCAAGTAAAGAGGAGCGATCTAGTACTATTGACAGTATGACAGCAGATTCCATTTTGTTTGAGTATATGCACTTAAGCCAAAGCAGAATTTGATGAATAAAAATATTCCCTAGAATATTGCAATTAAGAGAGAAGCTTCTGAAGCACACCATTTTTCAGTTAGCAGATCATTAAAAAGCCTGTTACCAAGCATCGTGTTACTGAATGACCATACTATCATCTTGAAAGGACATTGTCAATGTATGTTTAATAACTTATGCATAATTGTTTTTACTCACTGTTTGTAACCATCTATGAAATCAGTAAGTTGCTTTATGAGAAATGTTAATGTTTTCCATCACTCACACTGTAGTATTTGGATAAAACTCTTATCTCTGATCCAGACTGCAGTTCTCTGGTGTATTCTGCCAAGAAACTTCCACTGCTGTCAGAATATTAACTAGTGATCTGCACTGCAGATAAGAGGAGAATATTGCTCTTGGTTTGGTAGGGAAGAAGGATGGAAACTTAATGCTCTATCGTTAATTAGGGCCTAGTTTGTTACTAGTATATGTATGTAGGGCAGTATGCTTCAGATCCCTTGGAGCAACCCACATGGGCTCTAATTCCAGCACTCAAAGGCATTTTTCCATGCAGCAAAATCCGCACCTAGTTCTACACAACTCTGCATTGCAGGTTGCTCACAACCAGCTTCCAGCTACAAAAACCAAAAGTGCTTGTGTCGGCTTAAAGGGGGTATTGCAACTCTGCACTACTCTTTACTGCTGCAGAGGAAATGATAGGATAAAAGGGATTGCTGGATGACAGAGACTGCTGCTTGCAGCTATTGTATGTGCTTATATGTACTGCTGCAGTTTTATGCTGTGACACATTGCTAGGTATAATGGCATTCAGAATGTTAGCGGGGTGACTACTGCATTTCTTTTACTCTGTTTTTCATTGCATGTCCACTGAATCTGATTTTGAGCTAGGCAGATTTCTTGCCAGTGCAGGCAATCAACCAGTAGTCATGCAATGACAGAATTAATTCTGTGAGCATTCCATAAAGGGGGAATAAGCTCCTCCGATCCAAATTTTGTTCTACTATGATCTCTCTCTCTCTCCCTCTCCACCTGGGTAGATAGTTACATGCTGTGACTCTGCAGAATTAGACAATGTGGGGTTTTACTCACTTTGGCTTTCTTGAATAGATATTCCACTGAACTTGGGAGTAAGCCCTTTTCTTGCTTACTCCTGGGGGAATTCTGCACCAAAAAATAAAAAATTCTGCACACAATATTTTAAAATTCTGCATATTTTTTGTTAAAATAACACAATATAATCAAGCTGGTTTCAATTATTTTGGTAATTTATTTAAACTACAGTACAATGGATGGAGAATGGGAATGAGGAGCATTGGAGGAAATCACCAAGCCCCTTTGTCTAATAGTAATGTAGCTAGTATTGACCCTTTACTTCTAGTTATTAGTCAACAAATTTATGCAGCCATATGTTCAGTGTTACATCATAGGCAACTGAAGGGGAAGTGAGGACTGGAGACTCAAACTCACAATTTTTACTGGCTACTGACCATCTCCAAAAAGGTCAGTAGCAAACAGTTCATGGAGCACATTTTGATAGGAAACTTTTTCAGTCCAAACATTTAGACCAGTTCTAATCACTAAAGCACCACACTGTCCTTTACAATACGGCTCTGGCAATGTAAAGGAGCCTTAAAATTTTTACACCTGTTTTATACTCCTGGGGGAATGCCCTAAGAACAATGGGAACAATTCACTAAGCAGACAGGCTGCTGCACTCTGCTCTGCCTGAGGGAACAGAGCCTGCCCCATGCCTACCTCTTCAGAAACACCCCAAAGCCCTGCCCCTCCACGCCGAGCATGCTGTAGTAGCGAGCGAGAGGGACAGAGTGTCTCTCTCTCACGCACGAGTGCCCAGCCCCCTCCACATGGTGATGTATGTGTCTACCAGTTGCTCTGGGTGCCCAAACCAACCTGCCTGCATTGTGGGGGATGGGGCACATGACCTCTCTTGCGGCTTCCCTTTGCTTCTCCGTCAGAAGTCCTTTTTCTGCAGGGAAGCAAAAAAATCTGTGGGGTCCATGAATTCTGCGCAAACACAGTGATGCAGAATCCCCCCAGGAGTAGCATATCTATACAGGAATCTGGACCTTTCACTGACAAAGGCCATGAATGAGGGAAGCAAGGAAGTAGGTCAGATTTTTGAGACCACTAACCTTAAAAGCATCTCTTTTAAATACAGGAAATCTTTTAAATCCTAAAATAGAATGAAAAGTCTGTTTGTATAAGTTTTCTTGTGTGAACAATGTCAGTTGCAGAGTATTCAAAAGGTAAACCATTTATCAAGATTTATTTTATCCTTTAGTCTCATTACTTTCATGTTACAATTTTTTGTTTGCAATGGGATTTTTTGTTGTAGATAATCATCTGGAGACTGAAGTCACTGATTTCTATGAAGAGACAAAAGTTAAATTTGCTGAACTATCTGAGGAGCTTTTATGGGAATATATTCACAGTGGAGAACCAATGTAAGTAGGCTGCTGAAGGCAGCACATCTAACTTGAGTATAGGCCTTAAGACATTGTTGACCTCAGATACGAAGGAAGCAGTATGCCATGTCTTTGGGGGAAATTGGCCGTGTGTATATGCAGTCGTTGATGTGCTGTGTGAAACAAAAAGGAAGTTAATGTTGGATTCACAACATTGACTAGGATTTGAATTCCCAGGGTGGAAACTCTGAACCCAACCTTTTTAAAACTGCTAGCAGTCTTTTTTTCAATAGCCCCTTAATTTGAAATCTCAGGCAATGGATTACACAATGGAATTGTGCATTATTCTGTTTTAGGCCCAATTTTGGTTTAATTATTGCCTGATCCCAATGAAGATAATTGGAACCCATCTACTGACTTCAGTGAGCAATGAAACAGATTGTTAGTGAGAAAAGAATTAGGCCCTATATGAATATAGTATGGAAAGTTGGAAGAGCCTTAGCTTATCCTTACACTTACATTGAACTCTGTCCTGCATTCTGTGAGGCTTTCAACTCCTACTGAAGTCAGTTGGTGTTTAGGACATGCAGCAGCTCACAGTAGTGAGGATATAGAGCCAGTTATCATTGCATGTTCCAGTTATGAATGCACTATCTAGAGCAGAACTCTTGCAAAGCAGAGAAAACACTTTCTGCCTTGCATTTGTTGTGTATTAATCAGCACTAATAAATGTCCATGTTGAACTAACAGCTTAATCAAGATATACAGAGAGCGGGAAGGAGTCTTTGCTTAGATTTATCTATGAGATGAGTCTTTAACAGCTACAGCTTCTACCTGTAAACCAATAATGGGGCAGGGGCTGCTGAAGGGACTGTAATGTTAGAGCTTCTCATCTCTATGGAAAACTATGCAAACACATACAGAATCAATACAGAAGTGGCTGCACTGCCTTCAGTGGAAGGCAGGCCTGGAATTAGCAGGGTTACTGTGGTAAGGGTTATGGTGTGCAAATTACATGGGGAAATTGACAAACTATTCCCACATCAGTTTGACTCTAGCCAGTGCTACTGGGGAGGGGTAGGTAATAAAAAAACCCACTAGACTGTAAACCTAATTAAAAAAAATACAGTAGAAGGTTTATATTGCTACAGAGAAAGATGAAAGTTTTTCTGTTGTATGGATTTGTACTCGTCATGATTCATAGATTCCAAGGCCAGAGTGGACCACTGTGATTATCCAGTCTGACCTCCTGTGTAACATAGGCCATAGAACTTCCCCAAAATAATTCCTAGAGCAGATCTTCTAGAAAAACACCCAATCTTGATTTTAAAATTGCCAGTGATGGAGAATCTACCCACAACCCTTAGTAAGTCGTTCCAATGGTTGATTACCCTTACTGTTAAAACATGCATCTTATTTCCAGTCTGAATTTGTTTAGCTTCAACTTCCAAACCATGGTTCATGTTTTACCGTTTTGTGTTGGACTGAAGAGTCTATTATCAAATATTTATTCCCCATCTAGGTACTTAAAGACTGTAATCAAGTCACCTCTTCTCTTTGTTAAGCTGAATAAATTGAGCTCCTTGAGTCTATCACTATAAGGCATGTTTTCCACTCCTTTAATAATTCTCATGCCTCTTCTCTGAACCATCTCTAAATTATCAACATGCTTCTTGAATTGGGGACACCAAATCTGAAAACAGTATTCCAGTAATGGTTACACCAATACCAAATCGTATAACCTCCCTGCTCCTACTCGAGATTCCCGTTCATCTATCTCAGGATTGTATTAGTCCTTTTGGCAGCTGATTATTCACCACAACCTCCAAATCTTTTCCAGTGTCATGGCTTCCCAGGATAGAGTCCCCCACCCTGTTAGCATGGCCTGCATTCTTTGTTCCTAGATGTATACATTTACATTTAACCATATTTAAAATGCATATTATTTGCTTGTGCTCAGCTTACCAAACGATCCAGATCACTCTGTATCAGTGAACTGTCCTCTGTTATTTACCACTCCCCCAATTTTTGTGTCATCTTCAAACTTTGAGTGATGGTTTTATGTTTTCTTCTAGGACATTGATATAAATGTTAGAGTGTAGGGCCAAGAACTGATTTCTGTGGAACCCTACTACAAACACACCTACTTGATACCGATTCCCCATTTACAGTTACATTTTGATGTCTGTCAGTTAGACAGCTTTTAATCTGTTTTAATGTGCTCCATGTTCATTTTATATTATTCTAAATATTTAATCAAAATGTCACGCAGTACTAAGTCAAACACCTTGCATCAACACTATTGTGTTCATCAACCAAAATTGTAATTAATTAACTTTGACATGGGTTGAGTAAAATCCTAAACAATTGCACTTTAACTAGAGGTAGTTTTTTGTCTCAAAAGTGTGATCTGTTTGTTTTTTATTCTTCTGGGGAAAGTCATACCATTCAGGTAATGGAGTCTTTCATCTCCAAGTCAGTGTGGGCTGAACCCTCTGGTGGTGCGGGGTTGAAAAGTCTTTCTGGTGCTGAGACCCTTCTAAATAATGTAATAGGCTTATTGACAGCTCTGAAAAGAGCAGCATTGCTGTGCTGTGGAGAAAGCTTTTTCCAGCCATCTTTGGATACATGGAATATCGCACAACGAGGCATCTTGTAGAATGTAAAAAGTGGGAGGGAAATAAGAGATGAACCTTCTTGATTTGGAGAATAACTCTTCATGTTTCTAAATCAACTGGGTCATTTTGTTTTATTCAGCTGACATTTGTAAATTCATTTTAATCTGTGAATGCCATTAACATTCCCTCGAGAGACAAGATGTTAAATAAAATTGAACCTAGCACAGATCCTTAGTCTTTACAGTCCATCAACCAGTATCGGGCCTTGTGTGTCCTCCCTTTTATCCAAGCCTACTTGAATGAGGTTTTCAGGAAGATTTCAGGAGACACTTAAATGCTTTATTAAAATTCAGTTGTATTAGGTTTGCCATGTTCCCTCTTCTTCTCCCTCCACTTCCCCTCCCCCACACCCTCCACTAATTAGCCAGCATTCTTAGAATGTCATGAGTGTTCATGGAGACAAGTGGGTTTGTATAAAATTTAACTAGCACTAATCAGTCCAAGGCTTGGGAAGTGAGAAATCTAAAGAAGCTATGGCGCTTACACATTATGTATCTATAAAAGAATTGCCAGATCTGTCACGTCGCCCAGTACTGCATGATTTTGTAATCCATTATATTACATATACTCTACACCCAGCTATGGACCAGATCATTGGTCCCTGCTCCACCCCCCTTCAGCTACCTCTGCAATACCATGCCCAGGAAACTGTAGAACCAGCTCTATACAACTAGGTCTACACAATCTATTCCAGCCCTCTGCTAGCATAGGAGCTGTGTTGAAGGTAAAAGGGTAAGTCTCCAGAGTGCCCTCTGGGGTTGTTACTTTTAGCCTAAGTAAGTTAGTGCGGCCTCAGAGCTTGTGTTAGGAGCTGAGCTGGCCTCCATCTGACTCTGAGATTGGGAGAATGCAAAGGTTCTTTTGAGCTATATTTGTCCCAGTCCTCTAGGGTGCTGCAATAAGCATAGCTCAGCTGGATCTGAAGATTTGGCTCCATAACTCTTAATTTCCGGTCTTATGTTTAAAACCTCAACCCTCATGTTACATTGGCCTTGCTTTTGGCTAATAATAATAATTAATAATATAATCACATTTAGTAGGATAAGAGGAACCAATGTAAATTTGACCCAAACAGGAATAATTAAATCTAGGGCAGGAGCAATTTGTTACAAAAAATAAGGTGATCACTTGGGCTGTGTGGGGAAAAAAATAATTTTTTTTAGAGTACAGATTAGCAGAGAAATTCCCAGTATGCTTTTGGGAACTCTGATTTAGTGAACTAATCTCCCTTGAGTATGCAGCTGATGAGATTTGAGGGGCAAACTACAGTAACTCCTCACTTAAAGTCGTCCTGGTTAACATTGTTTCGTTGTTACGTTGCTGATCAATTAGGGAACATGCTCGTTTAAAGTTGTGTAATGCTCCCTTCTAACATCCTTTGGCAGCCGCCTGCTTTGTCTACTGCTTGCAGGAAGAGCAGCCCGTTGCAGCTAGCTGGTGGGGGCTTGGAACCAGGGTGGACCTGCAGCCCCCATATCAGCTCACCCTATTAGCTCCCCGCTCCCCTAAGTTCACTGTGCAGCAGCTGCCTGCAGTTCAGCTGTGTCCCTCCTCCCACTGCCATGTGCTGCTCCTGCCCTCTGCCTTGGAGCTGCTCCCCGAGACTCATGCTTGCTGTGTGGTGGGGAGGGAAGGAAGAGGGGGGCTAATGTCAGGGTGTCCCCCTCCCCCCTGCTCCTGCACCCTGCTTACCCCATCTTCCATAGAGCAGCGGGGACACACCAGAGCTCAGGACAGAGGGAGCTTGCAGCAGCTGCTGTCTCAGCAAGCTGATCTAATTAACAAGGCAGTGTACTTAAAGGGGAATGCGCATATCTCCCTCCATTCCTGCTGCTTTGTAAAGTGAGAGAGTTAACCCTCGAGGGCTCAGCCAATTGCTAGTTCATCATTTAGCAGTAAAGGAAATATCCCACCCTCTGACTCCTCCACCTCAACCAAGCTTGGTGAAAAAAATTTCCCTGGAACCTAACCCCCTCATTTACATTAATTCTTATGTGGAAATTGGATTCGCTTAACATCGTTTTGCTTAAAGTTGCATTTTTCAGAAACGTAACTACAACTTTAAGTGAGGAGTTACTGTATTGGATTTTTAGATAGAATTTAAGGCTTAGAATGAAAAATCCAGGTGTTGTGATTATGGCTTCTGGAAGAGTGAGAGAGCATTGCTGAAGCACAGCTGCAGCAGAACTGCTGCTGGGAGGAATCGGACAGCACATGTTAGCTGTTCTTTCTGCTACCAGACTCTTGTTAATTCACAGCGAGAGATCCAGGTGGGCTTCTGGGGGTCAAAAGTTCACATAAACTATTCTGCTCCTGTCTGAGACAGATCAGACTGAAAACTGTATACCTGAGAGGAGGGGA